ATAGGCCGATCAATAACCTATTGTGGACGCGGCTACTTGCTGCCTCTTTGCTAGCCGTTGGGTCTCTCCTAACAGAAATGTGCCCAGATCGCTTAGGTTTTGGGTGGCCACTGGCCAGCCTGCTTGTCTATTGGGGTAAGTAATGTTTTGGCCTTCAGCAAAACCTACCCACGAAATAAACACGCTCCTGAGTCCGGTGGGTAGGCGCGAGCAGGGTGCCGAGGATTAAATCCTATCACCGTAACCCCTTGTCCTCATAAAACTCGACGAAGTCTGGTGTAAATGTTGTGTCACGATGACTCGAAAGCGTCATTACGTAGGCAAGCGCCGAGCATTTCAAAATGACCCATCAGTAAGTGCGTGGCAAAAAGGACCTCAAAAGGCGATTGCTTTGGGTAATTTTCACGAAATAGGCCAGACAATCCTTCCAATATTTGCCCTGGTTCGTCTTTTTTACGCTTCAAACTGAAGGAAACTGCACCCGTGTTTGGTTGAATGTGTATTAACTAAGGAAGATAGCCTCACCGAGTTTGAATTACCCCCGCCCCCCTTTTTGGGTCTTTGCCGCAATCGACCGATGTTTTTGACCCCAGAGGTTGACATTCGTAAGCCTTTTGTTCATGAGTCTTTCTTCAAGAGTCTCCTTAAAGTCGTTATTATGGGAATTTGAATTAGGGAAACTACCAGGGCGGGTGTGCCCTGTATCTGATCGGTGTACGCCTATCTACTGATGTATAGTCTCGATCAACAACCGCTAAGACGTCGAGCCCGATGGCTCGGTGGTTAGAGCGTTCGCCTCTGACCGGAGGATCCTATGTCTTACGGTAATATGCCCTAAAAATAACAGGAATGTTACTGCAACTTAGTAAGTAATATTACAATTAGCCACGTGGTAGGGTTCGTGGGTGCACGAGCCACACAAAGACATCAAAAACCAGGGCGGGTGTGCTCTGTATCTGATCGGCGTACGCCTAAATTCTACTTCTATTTCCTATCGTTATTTTAAGCCAAGAATCACCCGGATTGTTGCCTCATTTGACATAGGTTGCCAAGTCTGGCATAGTGGAGAGCGTGCTTTCTTGGGTGCGTTACAAGGCCCAAGAGAAGATGGACAAACAGTGTCACAAGTCCAAACACTCGAAACTCAAAGGCATCCCCAAACTGGATGACGCCAACGACGCGGGCACCAAAAACTCCGCCTCCTGTACGCTGATCCTCACAGAGGGCGATTCAGCCAAGACTCTGGCTGTTGCCGGGTTGAGCGTGGTGGGGCGTGACCGTTATGGCGTGTTTCCCCTGCGCGGTAAACTGCTCAATGTGCGAGAGGCCTCCAGCAAGCAGATTATGGAGAATGCGGAGATCAACAATCTCATCAAGATCCTGGGACTGCAGTACAAAAACAAGTATGAGACACCGGAGTCGGTGGCAAGTCTGCGATACGGAAAGTAAGTTCGTTGTTCTGTTTTTTTTTTCATTCTGTCATGTTGCTGTAGCTTTGGTGCTGCCTCGAATGCGCTGTTTTTAATACGTATCTTGTCAGTTATATGTGTGTTATGTATTTGCTGTTACAGTTTGCTCTAT